GAGTTCGAGACCTCAAAATGCTGTGAATATTCTGCGATGTTAAGAATCGGCGACAGGCCTACGGCCTAATAAACGCTGAAACCGCTATTATTATTTATTATTATTATGCCATTCTAATGTTGTACTAATTGCATGTGCATAGTTTCCACCCAAACCAGTGACAAAGACTAGGCGGGCAGTGCACGTAGGCACTGGAAGCTTCCAAAACCAATTATAAAAAATAGACCACAGAGTCTAGTGTGGTCCATTTTTAAGTCTGGACGGTGAGTTAGTGAAACGTAGTTTGGACAACTGATCCTGTATAACACTAGTACGACTGAGTCAGTACCATTGAATCGAAATGGCTGTCTTTACAACTGAACTCCATTGATGAATCGTGAATATTGCCGAATGGCCTGCAATCCCAAGTTTGCTGCTCTGTGCCAAGAATTTAAGTCGATCGTGAACCGTAATCACTTTTTAAATAACGCATCTTCTGCGTCACAAAAATCTGAATTACAATGGCTCTTGGCCGATATTATTGGTATCCTGTGAAAAAGTTTTACGACGTAGAGTGATGCAGCGCGACACGTTCCTCTACTTTAGTAATGTAGATTAATGGCTACACTCGAGAGTAGACTGTACGCTTATAAGTGTTGTGAGGTCAGGACGGTAGAGTTGCTGCTAATGGATCTACTCCATTAGGCACCCTCTCGCCGCACCGTTGATTTACATGCAGATTTTTTTTCGTTTTTTTTTCTTTTAGAATTCTACTCTCCGGTTTTCCTTAAGGATTACTTGTTTAGTTTTTATTTGGTCTCTGGTTTGACGGAAACTTTATTATATTATTTATTAAATAATTTTGAGTCACTGTAAAAGAATTAAACGTAAATCACGGTAATAACCTTTGCAGCTGTAGCAGCTTTCAATGTATCAACATGTATAGTGAAGCTGAGACGAAGCGTGAAGCTCCGTGGTCGCAACAGGAAATTTCTTTTTGTTGCAAGTTACAGCCCCACACTACATCTCCATCATATATATACAGTATGTACAGCTGTTGTTCAGAAGCAGTTTTTGTTGTTACGTTCACTTGATGTAACAGCGGCCGCCTTGTCGACGACGGTTGGCCAGCTATGTTCCGTCTTTGTTACGCCTCTCGTGGTTGTGAAGCATAACTTCCTGTCTTGTACTTATGTTATTAGTCTGCTTATATTGCAAGTTCACAAGGAATTTGAAAGCAAAGCAAACGCCAAGAAAATTCACCATATCGAGATTGAAAACGTTTCGGAGTCCAGCTCCATCATCAGTTCGACGAAACTAAAAATNCACCCTCTCGCCGCACCGTTGATTTACATGCAGATTTTTTTACGTTTTTCCCTTCAGTATTCTACTATTCCGTTTTCTTTTAAATAATCTAATATATTTTACTTGTGTAATTGGCAATAATCGATGGCTTGTGTTGGCGGCCAATAAAATAAGGCTCATGTTAATAAAATAAGGCTCAATCTGACGCCAGCGGTCAATAACTCTCGCCCCTGCGTGATCTCTATGAGCTCTTCAGCAGCACGCGCCAGGATCCTATATTTTGGCTCTTGGTTAAAGATTGTGTATAAACCCTTTATCTGCAGATATATTAATAATCGTCAATGTTATTCGTATGTGAAGGCTTCGTTTCTAGGATTATCCTCAGTGGACACATTTATTATCATTAAACCCTTTATCTGCGGATGTATTAATTGTCGTCAATGTTATTCGTATGTGAAGATGTGGTTTCTAGAATTACCCTTAGTGGACACATTTATTATCATCCAAGCTATTCCATCTGAAACTCTAGTAACAAGCGTTGCCATCAGTAGAAGAGAAAAATTTAAAAAGTGTTTCAAAATGTAACAATTAGATCTCGTGGTACGTCAGTTCGTTTCAAAAATAAAACGGCTTATGTTTACGACATTTTATGGTACAAATTTAATATATAATACAAATCTGTTCGGACAATATCGGCCTCTCAAACAAACGCTCAGTGTTGCTTTGTTTCAAAATTTCCTTCGTGCGCAAGATTTTTGACAAACTGTAGCTACATTTTTGTATCGAAGAAATGAAAGAACTTCATCACAACTGGAAAAGATTTTGGACGAGTTGGGGAGATTGGCGATGTTTGACATAAGATCTCTGTTGTGTTTGTCAATCAAACACTGCACGGCGTGGGCAAACGCTCCTTAGAGGCGACTCGATGATGTGTGAGCAGTATAAATGTATTGGAAATACAGTACTGTATATCATTCAGTTTAAAACAATTGGTTGTGAATTATCTTACCGTTAACCGCCAATCATCTATCACTTGTCAGCCGTGAATTGCCAAGAAAGATAAAATAAATATAATCAAATGCTCAAAAAATGTTGATCAAGGGACAAAGAAAGATCAAATGCTTGTCCCAAATAAAATACCAAACTTGAGTAAATATATCAGGGGCTCCTAAACTAAGAGTCAATTGCTAACTGGAGATGTTCGTCAAGTTAGGATGTCCCTTGTAACAGTGATGCATGCACCTGCAGCAAGCTGCGTAACTCTGCTGCAGCGCAGCTTTAAAAAGCGTATATCTGCATCGTGATGCGCAGCTCCATATGTATAGCAGTTGTTTGAAAAAAATTAAAACGGCGCAATTCTTGTACCTATATATTGGAACAGGTTTCATTGAAGACCAGAGAATTTGTTTTATTCGCAATTTTCTTATTAGTTTTATAAAACTTGAAAGAAGGAATTCTGCCAACCTATACTAATATATTGGAACGTAAACAAAAAGCTATTCAATGCATTTTGTTTTAAAATGCTTAGGAAAATTTTTGTCTTATTCTCATCAGGATATCATAATATATATTTTAATTTTGCACATATTCAACCCGTGAAGTTAAGTTCACTTAAACAGTTTAGTTTTAATTTTTATTCAAGTTATAAAATATATGATTGCGTTTATCCTAAAATCATTCAATTTCATTGCATCACTGCTCCATGCGTGACGGCAGTGACTCATTTCAGTGACTCATGTCAGGTCGATATATCAATTCATGACTCACGCACTCGGTCACATGAAAAATTTTTATTCAGAGTGATCACAAATGAGATTTTCAAGCTTGGGCTTACTAATTTTTTCGGTGAGCTATAATATCGATGTAGTACAAGTTTTAATAAAAGATTTTTGCGGTAATCAAACTAAAATAAATGTTTCTGAAACTTGTGGAACTTAGAAATTGAGTGCAAGTTTAATTAAAGAGAGCATTTTAAATAATTTAAAACTGGTTTATGAAACTTGAAAATGGAGTGGAATTTAAATTAAAGGAAGAATTATAATTTCTCTGAAATAATTAATTTATGCAAATGAGTACAAGTGTTGAGCGTCCGATAGGGCATTACAATGAGAGGCCCAACCTGTCCCTGTTAGTTTTTATTGAAACAGCCGTTCGTACAGTAGCGGTGGACATCGCACGCACAGCCGTTCGTACAGTAGCGGTGGACATCGCACGCACAGCCGTTCGTACGGTAGCGGTGTACATCGCACGCACAGCCGTTCGTACGGTCAGACGTCCAGGAACGCAACCAGAAGGAGATGCTAGGTTTCTCTGTAGTGCGCATCGAGATCTCTCACTAAATGATTAGTAGGTATAATTAGTTACAGTTATATTATCAACAAGTATAACACATTAACGGTTGCAGGTGCTTCAGGCCAGGATCTTATCCTGAAGGACAGACAATTAAGGATTTTCTATGCTACGCATCGAGATCTCTCACTAAATGGTGATTAATAATATTAGTTAGTTATATTATTAGCAAGTAACGCATTAACGGTTGCAGGTGCTACAGGCCAGGAGCGCGTCCTAAAGGGGATGCCAGGTTTCTCCGTTGTATGCATCGAGATCTCTCACTATGATGATTAGTAAAATTAGTTTTTATTTATATCATTAGCAAGTAACACATTAACGATTGCAGGTGCTACAGGCCAGGATCGTATCCTAAAGGACAGACAAGGGTTCTCTGTGTTACGCATCGAAGGTCCTCACTTCGTAGAGCGCGGTCACGCCTACAGCCTCACGTGTGTCTACGACATGGGCAGGTGTCATCTCTTCAACGTCGAGTGGCTCTTCAATGATGAAAACTTTTTTAGGTGAGTTTAGTTTTAGCTTTATTTTGTGAAAAGAAATTTTTATTTTGTGAATATAAATGAGACTTTTATGCTGGTAGCAAGGGATTTTTTCATGGGAATTTAGTGACGAAGTTATTCAATGCTGGCAGTTAAATGTCGAGAACTTCTTATGGTGAGTTTAGTTTTAGCTTTATTTTGTGAAAATAAATGGGACTTCTATGCTGGTAGCAAGAGTTTTTTCAATGGGAATTTAGTGATGAAATTATTGAATAGCGAAGGCTTTTTCAGGTGAGTTAATTTTGTGAAGATAAATGGGACTTGTGTGCTGGTAGCAAGAGTTTTTTTAGGAGAATTTAGTGATGAAATTATTGAATAGCGAGAGCTTTTTCAAGTGTGTTTAGTTTTAGTTTTATTTTGTGAAGATAATTGAGACTTCTATGTTGGTAGCAAGAGTTTTCTTTTTCAGGGGAATTTAGTGACGAAATTATTTAATGCTTGCAGTTGAATATTGAGAGCCTTTTCATGTGTGTTTAGTTTTGGCTTAAAATTCAGTCAAAATAATTATTCGTCTTCTATTAAATTGAGTTATTAAATTAAATTCTAAGATGAGTTCGTTTCTAAAGTTGAAATTTTGTAGGGGTGATCGTTTATTTGAAGTGTAACCAGTGCTCAGGAGCAATTAAATAATTAATTAATCACAAATCACGGTAATAATGACTAATTTTTTTCACAGCTTCAGTCCTGTGCATGGAGGCCACAGCAAAGACAAGGCCCCTATCATCGTCGATGTGAGTGCTAATATATAAATGTATGCAACATTTCCTTGTAAAAATTTTGTTTTCAGAGAGATTTTCTTTCAACTTTAACAAAGAACGGTCGTTGTTTTTTTGTTGTTTTATGAATGCTGGTGTTGAAGTGAGAATAGGATACTAAATTTCTCTGGAAACGTGTATTTTTCATTGAGCTTATTTTTCCCATGTTTGTACTTTATATGGATAACGATATTCAGTAATGTTGGTCAAAGCTTCATGGGCGCATTGTGAGTTTCTGAGATTATAATGGTATTATTATTATTATGAGTATTAGTGATATATATTGAAGAATGTATCTAAATAAACTTGTGTTTCAGCTGGACCAGTCGAACAGCACTACGGTGGTGATCCCGACGGCCCGGTTCCGTGACAGCGGCACGTACAAATGCACGGTGACCACGCAGGAGGAAGAGTACTACATTGATAACAAGACTTTTGACCTCACCGTCGGGGGTGAGTGTGAGGGACAACAAGACTTTTGACCTCACCGTCGGGGGTAAGTGAGAGGATGACAACAAGACTTTTGACCTCACCGTCGGGGGTAGGTAGCAGTGGACATCGCACGTACAGACGTTCGTACAGTAGCGGTGGACATTGCACGCACAGCCGTTCGTACGGTAGCAGTGGACATCGCACGTATACAGCTTTTCGTACGGTAGCAGTGGACATCGCACGCACAGACGTTCGTACGGTAGCAGTGGACATCGCACGCACAGACGTTCGTACGGTAGCGGTGGACATCGCACGCACAGACGTTCGTACGGTAGCGGTGGACATCGTACGCACAGACGTTCGTACGGGAGCGGTGGACATCGCACGCACAGCCGTTCGTACGGTAACAGTGGATATCGCACGTACAGCCGTTCGTACAGTAGCAGTGGACATCGTACGTACAGCCGTTCGTACGGTAGCAGTGGATATCGCACGTACAGCTGTTCGTACGGTAGCGGTGGACATCGCACGTCCAGCCGTTCGTACGGGAGCAGTGGACATCGCACGTACAGCTGTTCGTACGGTATCAGTGGACATCGTACGTACAGCCGTTCGTACGGTAGCGGTGGACATCGCACGTACAGCCGTTCGTACGGTAGCGGTGGACATCGCACGCACAGCCGTTCGTACAGTAGCGGTGGACATCGCACGCACAGCCGTTCGTACAGTAGCGGTGGACATCGCACGCACAGCCGTTCGTACGGTAGCGGTGTACATCGCACGCACAGCCGTTCGTACGGTCAGACGTCCAGGAACGCAACCAGAAGGAGATGCTAGGTTTCTCTGTAGTGCGCATCGAGATCTCTCACTAAATGATTAGTAGGTATAATTAGTTACAGTTATATTATCAACAAGTATAACACATTAACGGTTGCAGGTGCTTCAGGCCAGGATCTTATCCTGAAGGACAGACAATTAAGGATTTTCTATGCTACGCATCGAGATCTCTCACTAAATGGTGATTAATAATATTAGTTAGTTATATTATTAGCAAGTAACGCATTAACGGTTGCAGGTGCTACAGGCCAGGAGCGCGTCCTAAAGGGGATGCCAGGTTTCTCCGTTGTATGCATCGAGATCTCTCACTTAATGATGATCAGTAAAATTAGTTTACAATTATATTATTAGCAAGTATAACACATTAACGGTTGTCGGTTACAGGTGCTACAGGCCAGGATCGTATCCTAAAGGACAGACAAGGATTCTCTGTGCTACGCATCGAAGGCCCTCAGTTCGTAGAGCGCGGTCATTCCTACAGCCTGACGTGTGTCTACGACATGGGCAGGTGTCATCTCTTCAACGTCGAGTGGCTCTTCAATGACGAGAACTTCTTCAGGTATGTTTTGTTTTAATTTTATTTTGTGAAAATAAATGAGACTTATATGCTGGTAGCATGGGTTTTGTCAGGGGAATTTAGTGACGAAATTATTGAATAGCAAAGGCTTTTTCAGTTATGTTTAGTTTTAGTTTAATTTGTGAAGATCTTATATGCTGGTAGCATGAGTTTTTCAGGGGAATTTGCAATGAAATTATTCAATGCTGGCTGTTAAAAGGCATTAGGGTTTACGATCGAAATCCTTGGAGATACATGTCTTCAAAGTCTTAATAAATTTTTAGTTGAATATTGAGGGTTTTTTCAGGTGTGTCTAGTTCTAGGTTAATTTGTGAAGATAAGTGAAACTTTTATGCTGGTATAGCATGAGTTTTGTCAGGGGAATTTAGTGACGAAATTATTGAATAGCGAGAGTTTTTTCAAGTGTGTTTAGTTTTAGTTTTATTTTGTGAAGATAAATGAGACTTCTATGCTGGTAGCAAGAGTTTTTTCAGGGGAATTTAGTGACGAAATTATTCACAGCTGGCAGTTGAATATTGAGGGCTTTTTCAGGTGGGTTTTGTTTTAGTTTAATTTAGTCAAAATAATTAAGAGTCTTTATTAAATTGAGTTATTGCTCAATTTAATAAAAGTTATAATAAAATAACCAGTTAATAAAATAACCAGTTATTAAATTAGGTTCTAAATTGAGTTCATTGCTAAAGTTTTAATTTTGAAGAAGTGAACGATTAACTGAAGTGTAACCAGCGCTCTGGACTAATTAAATAATTAAGTAATCACAAATGAAGGTCGGTAACAATGACAATTTTTTCTACAGTTTCAGTCCTGTGCACGGCGGCCACAGCAAAGACAAGTCCCCTATCATCGTTGACGTGAGTGCTAATATACAAATTTATTCAACATTTCCTTGTAAAAATTGTGTTTGCAAAGAGATTTTCTGTCAACTTTAACAAAAAACGTTCGTGGTTCTTTTATGACTACTGGTGTTGAAGAAGAAAAAAGGATACCGTCAACCGGGGCTACTCGGGACGGTTTTGAGCGTTTTTTGTTAATAACTTCTTACCATGAAACATTTCATATACAAGTTTAGGCTCATTTTATAGCTCTTTGCGAGGGCTATCGAATGGCATCTTCAAAAAGTTCCATATGCTATTCGTAAGGTGCCAGAAGCAAAAAATGAGTGTCCCGAGTAGCCCCGGTTGACGGTACGAAGTTTCTCTTGAAACGTTATTTTTCATTGAGCATATTTTTTCCACGTTTGTACTTAATATGGATGACGAAACTCATTAATGTCGGTCAATCTTAATGATTAATCATTAATGTCGGTCACCTCATCATGGGCGCATTGTGAGTTTTTGAGTTTGAACCTATCGGTATTATTATTACTATGAGTATTAGTGATAGATATTGAACAAAGTATCTAAATATTCTGAGTTTGAACCTATTGGTATTATTATTACTATGAATATTAGTGATAGATATTGAACAAAGTATCTAAATAGACAAACAAGACTTTTGACCTCACTGTCGGGGGTGAGTGAGTGGGACAACAAGACTTTTGACCTTACTGTCGGGGTAAGTGAGTGGGACAACAAGACTTTTGACCTCACTGTCGGGGGTGAGTGAGTGGGATAACAAGACTTTTGACCTCACTCTCGGGGGTGAGTGAGCTTGTTGGTACATGTTGGTTTTAATTGGTACATGTGGTTGGGGTCTCTGTGTTAGGGTGGTAGTAAGAAAGAGTTTACACTGGTATGTGATTAAGGTGGGAATTTGGCAATATTGATGTTTCGTTGTGTGTTTGGACAATGTCCTATGCAGGGAATAGCTTGACGAGACATATCATCGTGTTCCACTTAACGTGTTTTGCTGCTAAAGCTCTCACTATAAATTGCATCAATAGTTCGATGCAACGCATTTTTGTTCCCATTATACAACAGAGTTATAGGGTGAAATTTTACCACAAGATAATTATTTTGCCCTAGGGTATATAATTTTACCCTAGGGTAAACAATATTACCCTAGGATGAATAAAATTACGCTGAGGTAAATAATTTTCCCCTAAGGTAAATAATTTCACCCTAGGATAAATAGTTCCCCCTAGGGTATTTCACTATATATAGACGTATTACTCAGAATAATCTTTAAACTTTACATATTATAACGTGTGACATATTATAAATATTATATTATGACACATTCTAACGTATGTCGCCTCCGCAGTGCTGCCCACCGCTGGCCCCACCATCAAGGAGACCACCGTGGACCCCGACGGTGGGACGACCCCCCCGCCCCCCCAGGTGGGCTCGGAGGTGTCCCTAGAGTGCACCTCACAGCCCTCCTACCCCGCCACCAACCTCACCTGGGTCAGGAACCGCAAGGTGGGTCATGAACCGCAAGGTTGGTCAGGAACAGCAAGGTGGGTCACGAACCGCAAGGTGGGTCACGAACCGCAAGGTGGGCCACGAACCGCAAGGTGGGTCACGAACCGCAAGGTGGGTCAGGAATCGAAGGTGGGTTGGGAACCGCAAGGTGGGTCGCGAACCGCAAGGTGGGTCACGAACCGCAAAAGGGGCTCACGCTCAGTAACCGCAAGGTGGATTCAGGGTCAGGAACCGCAAGGTGGGTTCAGGGTCAGGAACCGCAAGGTGGGTTCAGGGTCAGGAACCGTGTGGGTTCATGGTCAAGAACCGGTTGGGTTCAGGGTCAGGAACCTTTTAGGTTCAGGGCCATGAACCGGTTGGGTTCAGGGATTATAACCGGTTGGGTTCAGGGCCATGAACCGGTTGGGTTCAGGGTTTGGTACCGGTTAGGTTCAGGGTCGGAAACTGGAAGGATGAAAACGTAGGAACTCAACCCTTATGTATATTCATTTGAGGCATTACAAAATGTATCATTATTGCTGAATTTCTCGTATTGCCATATTCATAAAGAATGTGAAACCCTCGATGTCATGGTAATGATGTTACTCACAATGACCCCTTTCTTTAAATCGACCCCCTTAATAAAATATCACTATATTACGATAGTTACAAGTTTAAACTCTTATAATGTATCATTATAAACACATCACCCTCTCTCCAGATGGTGACGGGGGGCGTGACGCAGCTGGGCACCTCCCGAGGGCCCGACGGCCTCATCACCTCCCGCGCGGGCCTCACTTTCACCCTCGCATTTCACCCTAGGGTAAATAGTTTCAACCCTAGGGTAAATAATTTCACCCTAGGGTAAATAGTTTCACCCTAGGGTAAATAGTTTCACCCTAGGTTAGATAGTTTCACCTTATGGTAAATAGTTTCACCCTAGGGTAAATAGTTTCACCCTAGGGTAAATAATTTCACCATACAGACGTATTACTGTGAATAATCTCTAAACTTTACACATTTTAACGTGTGTCGCCTCCGCAGTGCTGCCCACCGCGGGCCCCACCATCAAGGAGACCGCCGCGGACCCCGACGGTGGGACGACCCCCCCGCCCCCCCAGGTGGGCTCTGAGGTGTCCCTAGAGTGCACCTCACAGCCCTCCTACCCCGCCACCAACCTCACCTGGGTCATGAACCGCAAGGTGGGTCACGAACCGCAAGGTGGGTCACGAACCGCAAGGTGGGTCACGAACCGCAAGGTGGGTCACGAACCGCAAGGTGGGTCAGGAACAGCAAGGTGGGTGGAACCGCAAGGATGACTAACTACGTAAGAACTCAATCCTGACGTATATTAATTTGAGGTCATACAAAATGTATCATTATAATTTAATTTCTCCTAATGACACATTCATAAAGAATGTGTAGCCCTCGAATTCATGGTAATAAAATAACTCACAATGACCTCTTTCGATGAATTGTAACCATAACCATATATCACTGTAATACGTTAATTAAAAGATAAAACTCTTATAATATATCATCGTAACCTCGATGTCTTGGTAATAAAATTACTCACAATGACGTTTTTCATTAAATTTAAGCCTTTATAATTTGTCACTGTAATACGTACGCTAATTAAAAGATAAAACTTTCATTAAATTTAAGCCTTTATAATATGTCACTGTAATACGTACGCTAATAAAAAAGATAAAACTATTATAATATATCATTGTAATCACATCACCCCTCACGCCCCCCCTCCCTCCAGATGGTGACGGGGGGCGTGACGCAGCTGGGCACCTCCCGAGGGCCCGACGGCCTCATCACCTCCCGCGCGGGCCTCACTTTCACCCTCGCGCCCTCACACTACGAGCGCGGCAAACTCGAGGTCAAGGTGGGGCTACTGTTACCCTCACCCTTTACCCTCAACTTAAGTGTTACCTTCACTCTTTATCCTCAACTTTACTGTTACCCTCACCCTTTACAATAACCCTCATTCACTACCCTCGACCTTACTGTTACCCTCACACTCCTTACCTTCTCCATTACCCTCAACCTTATTCTTGCCTTCACACTCATATATATCGTTACCCTCTACATTACCCTCAATTTCGCCATCTCTATTACCCTCAACTCTACTGCTTAACTGTACCCTCTATTACCATTACGATCTCTATTACCCTCAACTGTGCCGCTCAATTACCCTAACCCTTGACCCTTACCCTTACTTCCATTTCGCGCCCTGTTCACTAGGTAAGCTCTAGTCCAAAGTGTGTCTACCGTGGCCACTTCTCGCATTTCTAATTTCAATTTACCTCTAATCGCATTTTTTAATTTTGCACCAAGCGATTTCCTATTATATTTTTCATTTCATAAGTTGGCTAAATTATTTTAAGCCAATCTTATTTAGTAATTGTCTATTCATTGACCTTCAATCTTATTTTTTCTTACACACTATATTATCTTCAGTGTCACTCGCGCTATCTTACCTTCGCTCGTTTTTGTTACTTTTCTCCGTAGTTTTATTCAATCATTATTGATATTGCCTTCTTGACTCAATTTCAATCTTAGTTTCTGTTTTATTTGCTGCTACGTTCAGACTTAGCGTAGAGCTTCAGACTATTCTTTTCATTTTTTCCATAAATAAAATTCTCTGGTAGCTTTTATTGTTTTTGCTACGCAAGGAGATGAGTGAGACATTGTCCAAATAAAGTTGTAGTTTTTGGTTGTCATCTTCACATTGTTGGGCCCGACACAAAGGGAGTATCACGGCTACATTCACGCTCGCCTTGTGCTGCGGTAACCGAAGTGTTTTACTTTTTGGACAAATGACGCATCTATTTTCTGAGTGTGCCATAACTTATTGATATAAAATTCACTGTGTTTTTCGGGTCAGTTAATATCAGTATTATTTTCTGGTGGAGTTTGACCGTGCGTGTTGTTGCAGTGCAAGGCCGCGCTGGAGAACGTGACGATGTTCTCTGACTCCTTCGTGCTGGTAAATCCTAACTACGACGCCTCCACGTCCTCCACTGCTCCTGATCTTGGTATAGGTAATTATATTAAATAAGTTTAATCTATAAACATTCACAGTAATTATAATATGGTTCAGGTACTGTGAAAAACATGATTTCAATCTATAACCATTATCGTTTCTGTAGGAATTCTTTCCAGTTGGACCTATTTTTTCGTTAATTAAAATTAATTTAATTAATTAAGCGGTTACACTGAATCATTTTCTCGCGTTGTGCAGTGGAGTCGAAGCTGCTGGTGCTGAAGCTCAGCATACAGATCCTCATCATGATCATCGTAGGTCTTCTCTTCTAAACCAAGGATCTAGACCCTGACCTAGACCGTGATCTAGACCCTGACCTAGACCCTGATCTAGACCATGACCTAGACCTTGACCTAGATTCTGATCTAGCCCATGATCTAGACCGTGATCTAGACCCTGATCTAGACCGTGATCTAGACCCTGACCTTGACATAGATTCTGACCTAGACCCTGATCTAGACCTTGATCTAGATTCTGATCTAGACCCTGACCTAGCCGTGACCAATGATCTTTGGATGCGATCTTTTGTCCCTGGATTTGTCCCTGGATCTGCCACTGGATCACCACTGGATCAGCAGCAAGCTTCGATAAACTTGGACTGCGGATCTGCACAAGCCTTAGATCAGATAAACGAGTTAATTACGTGGGCTTCACACGCATGAGAAATTTAGAAAATTTTTTTGTCTAACAATCATAACTGGAAAATTACTAACAGAAATGGTAAAAAATATCAAGTTTATTTGAGAAAAAATCGTTAAGCATAACATTATTTTGATTTTCAAGTTCCCGTAGAGTTTTTTGTTATTTAGTTCTGACCTTCTCAATTGGCCACACTCGACCATGTTTTTCCATGTGTAGGTGCGTTGATTTAATTGCCTAAGGAATTTGCCTAACTTGGACCCTGAACGTCATTAAAAACGATAAATATTCTTAGTCATTCATTATTAACGAAACTGCCTCATAATTTTTCTCCGTGCCAATATCAGTCTCGACTTCAACCGACTACAGTCGCGGCCAACGAAGCATTTTAGGACCTTAGCACTCCGGTCAATATAAATTATTAAAGACCATTCACCCCATTTAATGTAAATATGGGTGAAAGCTAATTGTTGAATACTATTTACAAACGCAGAGGTGTATTCTGTGTAGTCATAATAATTGCATTACAAGAATTATGGTTCTGACTGCAGAAATTTGAGCCTGAGTGTACTTTACGAATGCTGAATCATTTGTATAAGGGAAGTATCGTTGCATAATCGAGCAGCAATAACATCTGCCACCACCCTGGCAAACTCTTGTGTATAGTCTTTTATTAGAATGACAGAAATTCTTAGCTTAAACTTGTCAAAATCTCAACATACCAAAATCACAACATACCAAAATCACAACCTACCAAAACCACATCATACTACACCCCACAACCGTAGACCAGCTGAGAGAGGTTGCCGACTGTGTGTTGGGCCTCGTGCTGTACGATATAACGAAACTCGATAACCATCGTCTTCTCTCTATTAACAAGATATGAAATTTAGTTGTTGATGTGGGTTTTTCTGAAAATCAACATTTGAGTGAATCTTCAGGTGAGGTTTTTAATAAGTTGCTTAAGATGACGCCAACTTCAACTGTCATTGTTTCGTGTTTGTTTAATTTAAACAGGAAAATTGTCATTCAAAAATAAGAATTTTTTAAATCAATGTTTCTCTAATTGAATAAAGGACTTAAGAGTAATTTGACACAGTGCCCTGCTTTAGGTAATATAACAAAACGTATTGGATCTACTTTACTGATTGTTTCGTCGGAAGCAGCCATTCTTCAATGGCTATGTCTCATGTTTATTAGCCATGCATTTTCCTTAAATTTGAATCAATAATTTTACTTAAATTTGTGCTATGCTTTCTCTGGTCGGTTCTTTATAATTTTGATAAACGTTTCTCATGGTCTCGTGAATTTCAAGCAGCGATAACTTTCCATGATTGCAAAATATTATTATTATCGTTATTATTATGGCAATTACTACTTGAACTTTAGACTCTTTGACAGAATGGAGAATTATCGAACAGTGTTGTTCTTGTTAGCTTAGATTTTATTGAGCTTTATTTAGTAGGTTGATGTTTATTCAGAGGAACATACACAATGTTTCATAAGTTTCCAGCATTAATTTGTGTTTCGAAACCTTGAGTTTAAAATAAATTTTGTCATATATGTTTTTTGAAGAATGTGAAAGGATTGGACGTGAATTCGTTTGGCTTATACTGTCGTTGATTTATAATCTGCGTATAATTTTTTAGTTACTAGTTTTGTACCTGTTGTTTTTATTTTTGAAATCGCTTATTGAGAGGAATGTGTCAGCAAGAATATATTTTATGTTGTGTAAGTATCGATGTTTGCGTTTGGAGTGCAGAACGCTGTCTTTGGCGCTTTATCTCGATGCTGACATACGCAGGGTTGGAACTCTGATTACGCATTCAATAAAATCAAATCAATTAAAATTATCTCGGTAGAAAATGTTATAAAAATTACTGAAGACGGTTAGACATTATCTCTATAAAATTATCTAAAATGTATTGAAGACGGTTAGACATTATCTCTAAAAAATCATCTAAAATATATTGAAGGTGGTTAATGGTGGTTGAGCGTTTTTAGGTATGGATTCGCGTTCACTATTGAACACTATTGAACACGATTGAACACTATTGAACACTATTGAACACTTTCAAATAGTGTTCAATAACCACTATTGACGTTGACCACAAAAAATTTTTGTTCGCGTAAAAAGATTCTACTAAAAATCGACTATAACAATAGAATCTCTCACTCATTATGTCTAGGTAGGACTTCGCATGAATTTTTTCTTGATTATAGGCCTGGCTATCAGCTGACGATGATGACAGATTTACCATCAGCATTGATTATCGCGGCTGAAGTTTTGAGCTAAAAATGCTTTGTCAACACACGAAAATAAGCTTGTTACTAAACACCACTTATATTTATATTATAAATTAACATCTTAATTACAGTATAAATAGATCAAACGCCATCGATTCTTCAATAACAGAAAGTCTCAATCCATCATCCCTATAAATATATCTTTGTTCTTTTTTCCCGGGGTTAGCAACAGAGTTTTTAATGTTGTTCATGCTTTAAATATAGTATTCGGATTCGGGGCAATTCTCCGATGAACATTCCGTTACCAAGTATAATTTCGACCAAAAGCAAATAACTAAACACTTAGATCCCATGTTTGTTGCCTATATTTCCATTCCAAATATCGTCTATCAGCCTAGCTGTAATAATAAAAAATTTCCCAAGATTCTCCTTGTGGCATAATTTATATTATTTATCTAGCTTAATGTCAGAGTAAATAGTTTGTACATAGTTATTTTATATCGATTCTCAATTTATTTCTAACCTCTTTCTCTTGTCCACTTCTGCCTTTGTTCGTCATTTTCATATCTTCCCTTCTTATTCTTTCGATTCTCAATCGTTACCATGGAACAAATCGTTTCAAATTGATTTACAAATTCCAAGGTTGATTAAATTCAACACTCTGTACATAGTTTTCACGTAACTTTTACGCTTCAAAAGTAACATTTTTGAAGTAACATTGATATTATTAATGACAGATTTACCAGTAACATTTTTGAAGTAACATTGATATTATTGATGACAGATTTACCAGTAACATTTTTGAACTAACATTCATTGATAGTAACATTTTTCTGCTCTCAAATACTGGCTAATTTCATGTAGCTATGAAACGCGCAAAAAAATAAAATTGTACTTCGCAGACTGAGTGTCGTCGTGACTAATGATTGGTAGTTAGACTAAAACAATAGAGATAAACTCAGATAAATTTTGTAAATTGTCCAAATAGCTAAACATTTTTTGCCCTTATGTGGGTCATCCTGACCCAGTTTGGCACCGCAAAAAGCAGTATGTAGTGATTCGTCCGCTCTCTGTTCATGATGTGGGTAAGAACGTGTGTCGCTATTCGAACTAAAAGCCTATAATTTTCTGATTGTACGTGACTGTAAACAATTCCGAAAAGTAATGCCAATGTCTGATAGCTACGGGCATTTCACTCTTAATGTCTTTCTCGTGCTGTACATTCCATTATCATATACCTCTTATTAAAAACCTGCGCTATACTCATAGTTCTGTGTAGATAGAAAGTCACATTTCTGATCCACGATCAATTTTAAGGAGGTCACTGCAGTTAGGTATCACTATACTCCGAATTATGACCTTTTTTTAATTTATATTTTGCTATTTTTTTGAAAAAAGTTTATATATCGATTTTTTTTTCTTAAAAGTTGTAGTTTTCTATAACGGAAGTCGACTCCTAGGGGATTTATTTAACCGTAAAGTCCTATTATGTTCAAACGTAATAACTTGAAGTAATAACTCATTATCATATGTGATCCTCAAGAGCTTGTGTTCATTAGGTAATCTTACTTATTGGCTAATTTATTTTTTCTTTGTGTCTCATTTCAACCAAGTTTCTCTGTATAACCATTTTCGTTGGCAAACATCCTGTTTAATTTTATTGTTTTTTATGACTATAACAACAGACACGAATTTTTATTTAGTTTAGTTTTAGTTCTGTTAATTTGGTAATGCAGCATAATTACGGCTTCTCAGATAAATAACTAAGATTATTTACGATTTAAGTGTATATTTGTTAATGTTTTTTTTTATTTCGTTGTGAGCGGTAAAATTCTAAAATTTTTATTTAATACAACTTGCATCGCTAAAATTTTGAAATGTTCTTTAGGCGTATTAATTTATTTGTTGATTAATTAATTATGAACTAATTGATTGGTTGAAAAATTAAATGGAAACGTTTCCGGTGTAATCGGCTGAAAACAATTGTGTATTAAATCTCTAAGGCGGAAAAATTTCCATCGTGCGACCAACAAGCATGTCGTAGTAACAGCTCATTGGTCAGTATCTCTAAGTTTTATTTACTTTTTATTTCAGAAAATATTTTAAAATTCTCTAGGGTATCAACTAATACAAAATTCGCAAGTCACTTTCAAAGTTTTCTGTTGTCGGCTATGGGATATACCCGTGAACCCTTGTGATGAACCCGTGAACCGATACCCTTGTAAAATATCTTCGGATGAAACGCTATTGTTCATCAATAAGATATATTCCAATCTTTGAAGCTATAAAGTCATTAATCTTTCTACCCGAGATACTATTGTTGTCGCTCATTTATATGTCATGAGTTCAGTAGAACTTATTAAAAATATACCCCATATCGCAACCGCTGGTGCTTAAAATGGTTTATCTTCAACTTAATCAATTCTTAATGATTTTCGATTCTCAGTGGCAGCAGCAGCTTGGTATGAATAATATCGAATTCAGTTAAAAACGATATTGTTTAGTGATTATTTTTGGTTTTAATATTCTACTGATGTTTTTTTCAACGATACACGGCGTACGGTTTACGGTTTTAGACCACAAATGTTTACCGTCAGCGCCTGGTTTCTTGCATCCCGGATCTTGAATAGCAGTATTGTTCGCTGATTTGTCAGTTGAATTTTTCGAACACTCCATCTTTTACTATATATATATATATAGGTATATTTTTTTGCAAACGTTCGGTACTTGCTCTGTTCAGCTTGTTTTTCCGAGACAGATTCACTTATTGAATGAGGTACCGATCAATAGTCGCGTCAGAAAAGTTATTGTTTCGTCATCTTAATCCACAAAAAAAATTTCTTTCGCCGAATCGAGGACTGGATTTCTCAATCCAA